TTCATTTCATTTTTTCGGGCCCCATTTGTAAGCTTMTYTCTTCTTTATTACGTGTTCATATGTACATATTTAATTAGAAAACGTAAATCATCATATTAACCTAAATTTACTTACCGCTGCGGCCTTACGGTTGTTCAGTCGTTTAGTAGAGAATTGMTTCTTAGCCACACCTTTGACATCATAGAGTTTGGTGGGCAGGTTTGGTATATACGACCCATAGTCTGCTTGAGGGTAGTTAATGGCAGCGTGTTGGCCAGTCATTATCCAAAGGATGCGAGTAAAAGTCTTGATCAAGGTTGGTTTATTAGTTAAACTGGCAGGGAATCCACGAAGCTTAAGCAAAAAGATCAAGTATTAGTACGGTTTGAATGGTCCACTGTAGTACCCTGCAATTTCTACTCACTTTGCATCCATTTCAATATTCCTCCCTACTGCTCATCCTATACCTTTAGCTTCAACTACATATATCGTAACTCAAACTTAGTTTAAGCTTTACATACCGATCCCTTTCCTTTTTTGGAAACTTCATAAGCAAAGTGTTGAAGCTCAAAGTCTTTCCTGACGCTCCTGTCATCTTTATAAAATCTGATGAAGACGTTTTCAAAATGAACATTTATGTCATTATTGCACTTTTATGCACTCACATTTGTAACGAAACCTACAACTGAATGGTTGAGTACACCACAGCATTTTTAATTTCCCGTGACTTACGTATTTATGTAGTCTCTAACCATCCCATTTAGGACGTCGTATATCACAATGCCATCATCTCTGTACGGGTAATAAGGAAGACGCCTTTTGTCGTCAACTCCTCTTCTCTGAAAGTGGAATCAATMAATTAATTTAATCAATCCGCAATACATCACCCGACAGTCAACACAATCGATCCATCAGTCAATCATCCAATCCAACAAACCGATCAAACAAGCAAGAAAGCAAGCAAGCACGTTCTGTGGCACCACGAAAAAACGAGAGATTTTTTAAAATCACCTTGACGTTGTTCTTCAAGTCCAAATCGTRCCAGTTGATGAGCTTGGCTGCTTTTCTTGTCAAGTAATTAGCACCTTCATTTCCAAATTCCAAAATATGATCCAGATCAAACTCATCGTTCAAGAGMGTTGGTCCTCCTAAAGTATTGGCAGTGAAGATACCTCTACAGTGGAAACGCATGAAGTCGTACAATGGATGGATTTCAGATAGTTGTCTCTCCACAGCCAAACAAACTGCTTCAATWGTAAAGTGAACTTTACAGAGATGTTCAATGATTTGACTATTGCTGTAGTCTGATAATTGAGCGTTGAGTTTCGCGAGCATCCAGTTGTCTCCATCTTGTGGAGTGTAGACAGGTGCTTCTATCATAAAAACAAATCATAAAAGAAATATAAAGCAGTTAATATCTATTAAGTAGTAATTGAAATAAAAGTCAGTTCAAAAGTTGCCAGATAACTCATTCTCACAATATCATACAACATCAACAATTTTAGACTGCTCTTCACACTGCCGCCTGGTCGATACGCAGGAGTCTGGTTTGGAGGCTAAGGTTTTTGCAAGAAGATATCGTTTTTGCTTTCTCGCAAGCCTCAATTCTGATGGGATGCAAACTTTTAAGAATATAGTAATGACAACATCTATATGACCTTTTTCGGGTTTTATAAAGTCTTTGTGAAAGAGTCGGTTGTCGAATAAGACAGATATCAACAGAGATCATCTGTTTTGCAATATATGGTATAGGAAAACCAAAACCACATCGAAATCAGGGGTGGATCCAGGATTTTCCTCAGGGAGGGGTGCAGGGCTCTCAGGAGGGGGTGCACCTCAGAAAAATCATTACCATGAAGATACAAGATAAGGAATTCACAGTATTGAAGGATACAGATCTCAGGAGGGAGTGCGCACCCCCCGCACCCACTAGCCGGATCTGCCCCTGGAAATGTATTTACCTCTTCCATCGTCCATCTGAATAGCAACCGGTGTCAGTGCTGCATTTTCTGGTCTTGATGCAAAAATTGCAATAGGTGATTTGAAGCTCCACATTTTTCTGTTTGAGCCGGGTTTGGACTTGTCTTCTGMTGATTCTACGTCTCTGTTTAATGGATGGTAAAGAACAAACARGTGTCCATCCTTGATGGCCTATGAGAAAAGACAATCAAACGATGACTGAACAACATATGACAAGCAAAAAAAGACGAAGAAAWAAAAACTAAGCAAACAATGACTTCTACTGGTTTTTGTTTCAAAACAAAACAATATGGCATTTCATGATATCATGATACGGATTGCTTGTTAGAAGTCTTATTCTCGATTTGTTATCAGTTCCGGTCATTTACCTTTGTAAGCGAGAAATGATTATTGACTCGACTCAGAACTTTCTTCACAGCTCTAACCAAGTTAAATTTGGGATTCAAAAGTCGTTTGAGTCTGTTATAGTGCATTCCGATTCTATTGGAAAACGTTACTTTCTGGATGGTCATTGGATTAACWCCACTCAATCTCTGCTCAGCGAAGAAATGGTCTGAGATCCATTTAGTAAAATCTGACTGGAACGGTTGAGAATTGGATGGGTGATTCATATATCCCTGTAGAATATCAATACAATACTTTTTACCAGAGTTCAAATAATGATTTTAAATTAAGGTTTTTGAATATACTAACTCTGATCAGGTTAAGTGGCGATGAAGCATGGTTTCTGTAGAATYTCCTTAGATCAGCATACTCCTTCATCGTCATGTCTTGACTCTTGAAGCCATTAGCCACTGTATACCCAACTTCTGCGGCTTTGAAAAGGACTCCGTTCTTTATCCACATGTTGGAGTGGAAAGACAGGAAAGGATTGGTTCCCAAGAACAGAAGGTACTTAGGAGCATCCATGTTGAGTCGGTTGTATGGCATTTTTGGGGTTGCACGTCGAATGCCGTATATTCCACGTTTAACGTTTAAAGATATTTTACGTATTTTCTTGTTGCAAAGTATTGTAAGGGGGTTAAAAACCGAGAACGAGCGTTCTTTCTGTGGCAGACGAATGGGACACAATGCCTGGCTAAAAGGCAAGAAAAACTTTGTCAATAATAGTGTCTAGCCTTTTGATATTGCTGCGTGTCCAAAGGAGAAGTGACTAAATACATCAGTGGGATCGGTATTACTTACCAAGCAARGATTAAAGACATGACTGCAATTAATAGCAATGGAAGATGGTGAAACGCCATCTTGGATATACACCTATCAAACAATTACACGATACTTCTTTTATCAATGCTGTTTTTATTAAATCCTGGTTTTCTTTTACTAAGCTGATGAGCAAGCACACGTTAACTGTTGCCATAGTAATCTCGAAACTTTACTTCGTACTTAATCCTTTRGCGTCCTACTCCGAGGTAGCCTAGTTAATCTCTTCRCAGAGCGAAAYGAKCTTACGAGTAGTACTAACTTGTTTCTGCACTAAACAGTGGTGATTCAAACGATATCACTCTCCAAAGTTTTGCTATATTGATTTTRATTTTTATAAAATATTCACGGATTAGACATAAATGCCTTCACTCTCCCTTATCAATGCCGCTAAAATGATGCAAGTATTGTTTAATTGGCACCGATAACGAAATATTGATTAAAACTGATTAAACAATCCGTGAAACAAAGGGGTKATTTTCACAGGGTGAGGTGAGATAAGGAACGACAAAAAATTACAGTGCAAAATAGAACTAAAAACATACGTATAAGTAACGGGTTTATGAAAACCATGACGCTAGGAGTAAATAWATGCAATGTTTACTCGACTCCTGACCATATTGATTGAAYGTCTCGAATTTGTCTCGGAAAGGTCTCGGTATCTGGACGGCTCTCAGATTTTCTTAAGAATAGTCTCGAAGTGGTGTCGGTGTCTGCGCAATCTTTGAAAACATAATGATGTATTTTTTTCATTTCAATTCTTAATCAAGTTAATTTTTATTAAGCTAATTTTSTTCAAAAGATATTGTAGTTGTAAATTGKAAAATCTAGACAGTCGGAAATTTTGGTTAATCGTAAGACACCTAAAACTCATTCGCAAAAAACGCTTTATTTTCATTATTATTTCTTTTAGGTAAGCATACAAATTATATCTTTTAATTTGCTCTGGTGCAAAATGTCTAGCATGGGCCGCCAAAGAAAGCTRGCTTGCGCCAAATTGAAGACAGTTTAACCAAGATGAAACACCTGTATTATGTCATCTAAACTCACCTTGAAATTGCCTTGAAAAGCTTTTAGCTTCTTGTGATCTAAGGGTACATCAGATTGGATAGAGGCARTGCGGTGTAAGCCCTTATATACATTGCTTCCTCGGAGAAAAAAATCAGGGAAGGGGGGAGCTTGCTTCCAGCAGAGGATCRCTATCGTTAAGACGGAAGCTTAAGATTGGCTTGATATACAATAAAAAATTAAGGATTGCTTGAAAGAGTTTTTTCCTTTGATAAATATTTTATTTGCTTTTTATACTATAACATGTTTTGGTGGTGCCATCGTGACAATTATTATTTGAGTGAAAAATTTGACTTTATTTTTATTTCTAAGGTCAAAGAATAATATGTGTACTAACATAACGGACCCCTATGCACGTTATCAATGAAAGTTCTGGTTTCCAAAATCCACATGCTCAATTAAAGGAACCTCGAGCCTTACGGCTGGCACTGACATCATCCATTAACTGTAGGTACCCGATATCACTCCTCCCATACTCCCTCCATCTTCCTTCTTGCCGTCCGTCAACCCCTCCTATTCACTGCTTCTGTTTCGTTTGGTTGCTTGCTGTGAGCTCAAATTATTACTGAAAAAAAATACTAAGTTGCTAGTCATAATATTAATATCAATCGTGATTAGTTTGTGTTACCCTGTCTTTCTTATTATAAAATACCGGATTACGACTTATATTGCCATAGTAGAGTACATAGTTTAAGATAAAAGAGAAAAAGCAAATTCCCAATCCCGTTTTCGTCATGAATAACAACTAGTTGTTAAAATTAAGACATTCAATGCGATAAGAGTTCAATTAGTTTATTGATAAAGTACTATTATCAGTCGAATTTCCGAACTTACCTAGTGTCATTCATTCAAATGATTTTATACAAATTGGGCAATGACTCGTCAATATTTGTAAATATTATWATTATTTTTCATTTTTGCAGCTGGAAGCCAAGATTTTTTATCCAAAGCAACTTATGAAATTTCTCATCTTCGGTTTGAAAATCATAGTGACGACATTTACCACAAAACATTTCGAAAAAAATTTACGRCAAAGACGAATCCAGGACTGAGCCACAGCAAAATCACATGGCAAGAAATGACATTATTGAAATCTTATGTCAGTTTGTAGAGAATARAAGTCATTGTTAGGGGCAACGTTAAAATCAAGATCAAAATTTTCATTGGTATTTTTAAATTACTCAATTTTAATAATTATTATATTTTCATTATAACTTAGAAAACAAACACTTATAATTGCTAGTTACATTGCTAACTATTCTCAATACCTATCTCGTGAAATAATAAGCATGCTTTATTACCGCGCTTGTTGAGCAGATAACCGAGATATATTTTCCWATGGTACACTCAACGTTCAACGTGTTCATAAAAACACAATTCCTACAATTAGATTTAATTCTATTTTTTTTGTCAAAGTATAAAATTGATTTTAATGCTATAGAAAATTGATTAACGTTCTTGTATTTAAAAAATTCAACTAGGCTTCAATGATTGTTTAAAACAACTTCTTGGATTTTTTCATCTCAATTTGCTTCCATTTTGGCATCGAGTGAAATTCTTGCTTGTTCATTCCAAATACTTGATAAAACACGTCGTCTTCCAGGTATTTCTGCAACATAAATCGTATTCACCTTGTTATTTTGAAATAGTCAGAAAAGAAAGAAATTTGCTCAYACGTGAAAACGCTAGATTAGGTTCGAACCAAGTATTTAATSTCCGGCTTTTCCGAACGAAAATCACGGACATTGGGATTGATTTTGAMTGCATTGCGTTACTTTTTAAAGTTTCCCTTGCACGTTTTTTAACATGATATGGAACTTAGCACAAGTTTTCGAAAAGGTTTTAGTCCTTCATGTTACATTGTGCAATTTTCCTCAGCTACTTGCAGTATTTTGTTGACGAGATAACATTGGATCTAGAATTAAGATGGCGGACACTTCGAAACTGAGAAATTACGTTKCAAGTCGCTGCAATGCGTTGCAAAAGGTAAACCTTTCGAAATTAGTTCTCTTTTTTGGCTTGCAAAGCGGAGCCAAAAAAAGTTGCTGATGCCCCCCCCCCCCCCCCCATTACATGCACTTTGCAGTTCCAATCTTCAGCCGTAACGACACAACTCGTTGAGAAACGAGCATCTTTCATAAAAAGCATCTTTCCTTAGTAGAGATACCATTATCATTCACTGCGTAAACAAACCTCTCGAATTCTTTTATCAACATCTCGTGGAAGCAAAGACGTTGGACCACTTAGTATTTCATATGAGTAGAACTTGTCCGGTTCAAACGTGTCTGGGTTGTGATTGATGATTTCATATGCTTCCTAAATACCATTAAAACATTGCATTTTATTCTGGAACTTACTAAAATTACGAAGAAAACAATTGCGTATTTTGTCACTTGTGATCATAAGTATTTTATAACCTTTTCAGTGATKCGCTTGTTGTATTCTGAAATGCCGTCTCCTACGTCTGCTTTCCTTTCCTCGAAGGTCATTCCTTTCTGTTAAAAACAATTAAAAACATGAATAAAATAAGATATTTTTTTGAGTCAGGAAATAAATAATTGTTTGAGTCAAGTATGAAATAAGTTTTGGTGTTGTTTTTTTTCAATACATATATCTTCATATAATCAAACTGCTGATACATTTTGACAGAGAAAGACTAAAATTATTGAGTTGAGACAAGCAGCGACGCCATGTTTGTACAAAAAGTGTATCTGTGATCGACATGATGGGAAATTAACTAAATGTTTTAGAACTTTTCTTTTGTCCGCTTAAATCTGTAAAACGTATAATTTCTAAAGTGAGCTATTGCGCTTTCTTTAGGGATATAGCAATATGTCTTCTTCTTCTTTTTCTTTTTTTTTTGAAAAGAAAAGCACGAAAAACGAACTCTGGGGATAGTTTACAGGTCCATTTGCATCCAAGAACCTTTGCGCGCTTCTATCATGAGCAAACAATTTTGGAGAGTGTTGTGACAATCAAATTTAATTCGGGGTCATCTTGTGTTGTTTTATTTTTTTGCATGATATTTTTTCGAGGTGGCGCGGGACTAGTCACTGCCCTTGTTAGCGGGATAGATTTCAGAGAACCAATCAGTACTGAAAGGTTTTCAAAACAAAACATTAATAATTAATTGATCGTAAACATTCTTGGATGAACGTTGCCATAAATAAATACGGAGACTACATCTACTGTCATGTTTTGCAGTAGAAAATGGCACAGCTATGCATTGCTCATTGGGAAAATTGCAAACTTACACTCCATTTTTCCGAGTCCCAAGCCTGGAAATGCCCGGTAAAGTTTAATGGTTCGTAGCCTTGTTTGACTTGTATGATGATGGTGTCATCGAGAGTTCTACCTGACGTGTCAGCCTTGATGTAATCCTGTTAGCAAAGTTGTAAAGAAATGACTTTTTTAATACTCAGCTACCTCAAAACTAGGGCTAGGAAAGAAGGCGGAACTATAGTACAAGGTAGTTCATTAAGAAGATATGTCGACGAAATTGAGAATTTCTATTCCGCACGTTGGGACAAGCTATAGTGCTGATTGCGATGAAAGTGAATACCTGTAGTAGCCAAAGATGTATATTGAAAATAAGAAGACTAAACAGTAATAAGATAAAGCATGCATGGTGAAAGCTAAGCAAGGAAAGGTAACGAGGATAGCAATTAAATAGAGAGGAAAAAAAGCGAAAAAATGACAAAGAACAAGAGAAAAAGAAATGCAGGAAAAAGTAGTAATGGGCTCCTGGAAAAGAGCAGAAAAAGTAAAAGAAAACGAGAAGATTAAAAATCTTTATCGAGATCTTACCATTGCACACCGAAGAGATTCTCGTCTTTCCTCATCGTTAGCTCCATCACCAATCCACACGAATACCTACAGAAGAAASCAAGGAAAGGTTTCTTAATTACTCATATATATGACTAGCAAGTTGATTTTTGCTCTGACTCGCGAGTTAAGTTTTGAGTTTGAGAATGCACACGTAACGTTGATATAATTACAACTCAATAAAACACGCCGCGTATCTTSCCCTGGACTCTCCCTTACGAGAGAACTGGTAGGGGTGCTTGACGAAGATCTTTGACGGTAAAAAAGACCCTAGGATAATTTTAAAAATAGACCTTGTAGGGTWAGTTTGCAAACATAATGCAGTATTGCACAGATTGGAACAGTGTTATATGGAAACAATTTTACTAGCTCGTTCAAGCGGACCGTTCCAGGGTCATCTTCGACTCTGTTCGTCGATAGAGCATTCTTTGCCCCCACCCTCAGTTCTCCCTTATTTCTTCGAAAATATGCTATTTCAACAGATCGTTATTCTAATTATTCACCTACCTCATCATAAGTATCTAGCATCATAACATCGTCTTCAATAAGATCCTGCAATGAAATCAGCTGTTATGTTGTTTATCAATACCATATTCAGGTATGGAATAGAAATCGAACAGTGTTATGGGTAAATAGGAAAGAACCGCCTGGGAACGGCGACGATTGGCTCTTCCCTAAAATAGGCAAAATGATACAGGCCCGTAACCAAGGGGGGTGCACTGGGTGCACTGGGTGCACTGGGTGAGCGTGCCCCCTCCCCCCCAGAGAAGCTGAAGGTCCGCTCATCTAACTTCATGTTTTAAAAAATTATATGAATCTTTGTTTTAAATTTATTTTGTCGAATTTATCCACGCATCGCGAATCAAAACGACCTATGGATTCGAACTGAATCCATGTGTAAGGTGTAGTGATAACGCATAATCAAAAACGGTAATAAGTGTTATAAGTTGGGAAAATTGCAAACTGGTATGTTTTCATGGGATTTGAAAACCACTCCGACTTAAATATACTGAAAGGTTGATACAAATAAGGAAGGCAAAGAATGGTCCGGTTTAATAAGATGTGCACCCCCTCCCCCCCGGTAGATGTTCTGGTTACGTCCCTGTGATACAAAGAAACAACGTCAATTTTCTCATTTTTGGGGCCGATGCATCTCAGCTCATTACGCAGTGGATGTTGCGAGCTTGGCAATGCTGTATCTGGAGCAATCAGTAATTTGATCTTAACTGACAGTAGGACAAAGAACGCACGACGTATACCATCATATACTCATAAACGTCAGCGATTGTAACTTTACCTCTTGTGTAAATTCGAATAATTCTTCTATTCTGAACGCACCGGAAGAGTCAGAAAATTGGAATAATCTTGGAGGATAAGATGGCTTYTCTTCCTATAAAACACAGAAAACTACAGCTATATTCATGCACCTAAAGCTCCAAAGAATCTACACCTATATACCTCTAGTATTTTTCCTTTCGCGTACGGTTCGCGTCCTCCGATGCCTTCCCAGAAATCATTGGGCTCGTGCTCTTCGCGAATGATCTCGGGCTCCCTGTATTTATGATAAATGCACCGTTAATTGAGATCAGTTGAGMATTGGCACCAATTCATGCAATAGCTTGTTTTCTGTTGTTTTCCAACAGACTTTTTTAAAAGTTTGATAAATATAAAAAAAGCATCAGGTGTTTGTCCTATTTTTCGTTGTTACTCAATATATGTCACAGCGGCCATCTTGGAGGAACTTTATCGAAGGGTTTCTCATTGTTAGTAACTATAAACTATTGTTCTTTCCCCCAACATGGCCGCCGGTCTTTTAACTTTTAATTCTCTTGGGAATGGTTGAAAACGATCAATAAGTCTTAGCAGAAAGTTCGATCTGTGTTTCTTACCTTCCTGGAGTTAAGAAATCAACAACCAGWCGACCAATCCGTCTTTCAGCGTCACATGCTCCCTGTGAAGTGAATCATTCATTATGAATTACTTGCTTACAACGAACGCTCTCATTGGCTGAGATGTGCGCATGACCAGGATGTGTCTTCAATATCTTATGTGTGATATCTACTGATCTATGTGACAAACAGGAATATTTGATCACCGAGCACAAGGGTGTTGGGCAACCGTTCATTGCTCCATCATCCATCAAGTTGAAACGGAAACACCACAGCCAAAAAGTTCGATGCGCCATCCAATAACACCGAGAACCTTGTCCACATTTCTCACTGTGATACTTACTTTTCCTCGCCACATGAATATTTTCYTAGGTGTTTCTAACACTATGACGTCACCAGAGTTCAGTGACGCTGCTCGTCTTGGCACCTGAAACAAAGGAAAATCCACATGAGCTACATTGTTATAGGAATCAAGAAATGGCTAGATGCTAAGTTTGTGAATAACTTTGGGGAAGGCCGAGAATGGAGGAAAAGGAGTCTGAGGGTCTTCCTTATGGTAGCGCGCAGCAGCCYGCGATTGCTTGCTATTTGGCGTTAATGGGTTAGTTGGCTGAATGTGYTAWWAGTTTGTTAGCTGTGTATGTACTGAGAGTTAGTTTGGTGACCTTATAGTAAGTTTGTTGGATGTGTAGCTGGATGTAAAGTTTAAAGTCCGACAATGAGTAGTGGATGGGCTTTGACGTCCGCACAAATTGTTTCAGTCCAGGCATAAAATTACATGATTGCACGGTTAGCTGGTAAACTGTGTATCGATTTTATATCATCCATACCTGAACTGCGCGAGCATTGAGATCATTTGTGCCTTTGACATGGAACAGTCGCTTGCCTTCGGAGTCGTAAGTATCTTCTTCACAACCAGCRCGGAAYCCAGCACCTTTTCCACCCTTAATGAAAGGTTAAAAATACAATATAAGAATTACTTCATTATATTGCAAAAACAACTGAAGTAGCTCTATATGATATTCACATTTGCCTTGGGGTATACAAAATCGCAACTTCTAGATCTGTCAAATGAAACTAACTAAGGTCATTGCTAATAACAATTCCGTTTTATGTCGTATTGACAGGTTATTTGGGCAGAGGGAAATACGAAGAAGACACTTCTTTGCGTTGAATAGATCCACTTGAGTCGTAAATGGGTGTAAGCACTCTTAGAAGCAGGTTTTCCATTTACCTATGACGGTTTTCCTATCTTCAGTAGGTAATCAATTTGTATACATAAAAAGAAGTAACAACTTACATCTAAGATTATTAGTCTTCCTCTAAAGATTATAAGGAAGTGCTGAGGCTCTTTGTTCTGGACAACTCGTACCTGACATAAAACAAACAATAACACTTAGTTKGAGGCAAACCTCCACCTGATCCTTTCGTTCTTGCCAACCCTCCCTGTATCCCAGAACCTCCAACGTGCAGACTGACCAAGATCTACTACAGAGGCTGAAGGACAACATTTATACTTCACTAAAGAACAACTCTGTGCATTTCTTCTGGAGGCTAACTAATCAAATGCATGAGAGACAATTCCCTAAGATAAGTTCCGCTGCAGCTGGTGTTGATGCATTCTGAATTCGCCACAGACGGCGTTCTCTTCGTTTTGTTTGTTTCACCGGACAACTGAGATACTTTAGGTAGTTCATCATCGTGCACTAACGTGATTCAAAACATTGTAGATGAACAAACCTGCATAGCAATCCCTCCCATGTCTTTGTCCATCTTGTCTGTCAATATTGCAGATGCAGCCTTCTCTTCGGTACTGCTCTTTACACCCTGAAATTTGATTCAGAATGTTTTCCAGTCCCGCTCTTCGGTCTTAGTTTCGATGACGCCAACAACGTTTTTTAATAGGCAATGTACAGCGACGCCATTTTGTGCAGCAAAGCATGACGGTAGTTGTAGTCCTTGCACGTATTTGAGACCATAAGGTATCTCCCTATGCTAAAACTATTTTTSCCTACAAAAAGCAAAAACAATCTAAGGAGGACTTGTAGCGGACATAAAAAAGTACGAGCACGGAGGACTACAACTACCGTCATCTTTTGCTGCACAAAATGGCTTTGCTGCACATTGCTTATTAGGTATATTATTACGCAAAAGTCATACCTGCCAGAAGTAGATAATGTGGTTTTCTTTCCTATTGACTTTGTACGTGTATAGAATAATGTAGCAATCGCCGCTGAAGAAAAGACCATGAAGTTCAGAACGAACGGGGAGCAAGTCATGATCCTCGACTCKCCATATCTGAAATCAGTCGTGAAAATGGAAGCGGTCAACTGATTCCAAGAGAAATACATCTACTTTTATGTCCCAGACAGAAAGTAACAACAAATTATAATACTCTCAGAGTCGTAACAATAATTTCCTGAAATTAATGATTTCCCAAATAAAATAAACACCACTAGAGTATGTTGACTATGATCAGTTCTTTAACCATGAATATCTGCTGTTCTCGTTCCCAAAAAGAATTTATATATCATCCCTTCAAATATTGCAACTATGAATGTGTAAGTTCTAACACGAGGACTTCCTAAACAATTCGAGATTTTATTTTTGAAACACTTTGTAATGGAATCCATGCCAAGAGATGAAATTATCTTTCGGATTCCACTGTTGCACAAGTTTTAACAAAGCAAAATTGATTTGTAATTTCAAACAGTATCGGGCAATCCTGAAATAGGACATGCAATGATATCTTAATATTTTTTGATATTATTAATTACAATCGCATATATTGAATCCAAGCAACAGTCTTTACCTTGGCTACACCCGTACCGTCRTCAGGCAGGATTTCCTTTTTCTTTGGTTTCTGCTTTTCGTGCATGGCCGAGGCATCGACCTTCTCGCGATTCTGTCGAGCTGAAAAAGATTTCATTCACACATGATCATGCTCTTTCCAGGACTATGTCTATCCCAATTCGCCAACACGAAATACAAATCCAATTTCTAAATTAGTGCTACCTTGTTGTAAATCTCAGCCTCAATTTTCAATTTMCCAGAACAAAATGGCAAATCCCAGTTTCCATATATATCAACTCCCTTTCAGAAAGACATCTGTAAATATTGTGGCTCTAGTTTTACAGCAGMCGGCAGAATAAAATAAAATGCACTCTTTGGCCACTCACCAACTCCTTTTTTGAATGTTCGTCCCAGGCCTACTTGATCATTCCCRTCCGACCAATTAGAAAAGAACTGTTTAAAGATGGGCGTCTCCCCTCCTTCGATGACACGTGTCACTTGTGTCCAGTTGGGGTAACCCTTCTTCTCAATGAATTCCTACATAATTCAAGGTATGATATCAAATTCAAAGATGATCCTGCATATTAATTCGATGTTCGATATCAGCGATCACTATTATAAGTTCCATTTAAGAAACCTTTTGATTATTGTTTAAGGTCTTTTCACAACGTGAAGGAGATCCACACAATTAACTCCAGTGGAAAAGCAAGTGGTTTTTTGTCTTCCTGAGTTGATAGTGWCAGAGAAAAAAACTGATCCCCCTCGTTCCCAGGGCCTTTGTCCGCCATTTAAAAAAAAGCAAGCAGAGAAGACCTGGGAACGACTTTGAAAAACTGATGTCGAGAGTAACACAGGAATCCTACGGAGTAGTGTGAAAGAGTCAGATTTGGATTCTTACCATTCCATTTTTCATTGCTCCATTTTTYTCGTCTTTTGTGCAACCTTTACCAACCCAAATGAATACACCACTACTACCGCAGTCCAGTATGAAACAGTCCTGTTGAATAATGATAACGCCGAATAACTGTCGAAAGTTAATCAAATCTACCTATCTGACCAACCTACCAACCTACCAACCAGTCAACCAATCAACAACCAACAAACCAACAAACCAACCAACCAACTACCCATCCAAACACCCTCCCAAACACCCACCCGCCCACCCAACCGACCAACCGACCAACCGACCAATATTAATCAATCATGTTGAATGTGAATACATACATTGGTGTCCAGATGCGTCTTTCTGAGTGGTTTTTCGTCAATCATAGTCATTTCTAATTGACCAGACGCGTCAGAAACCCTTGAGATGAAAACAAACATGTCAGTTGATATATTCATACGRCACCATGCTATGAAWGYTCATTTTGCAATTTGTACCTGTACAGGTTGGTGCTCATTTGACTCGACTTTTCAAACTCCATGTCATCTCCAGAATCATCDGCAATTTTACATCGCGAGCCAAGTGCTTTGAAGAACTTATCTTCGAGGGCTATATCCTTGTCCTCGTCTGTGGAGAACGATAAGTTACATAGTATTGTATGGGAGGGGATGCAAGCAATATGCGTCCTCATTTTGAATTGATGTCAACCACACAAAATGGCAATTTTAATAGACYATTCTCACTTGCACTGTCGGATAAATATTGATCTTACCAACGATGTGAATTGCCGCCTTTCCTCCACGTTCCTCATTCTTAATCTTTGTTGCCACCTCAGTACCCTATAGATATACGAGTTCTTATGAAATGCAAATTGTGTATATTGCTTAAATGTTAATTCAATAGTTGTCAGGATGGCCGAGCGGTCTAAGGCGCTGCGTTCAGGTCGCAGTCTACATTAGTAGGCGTGGGTTCGAATCCCACTTCTGACATATTTTAATTATTTTTCTCGCTTCTCTTTAAACATTCTGCAAACAATGATTCGGCTGTATTTTGTACCTTGATTTTCTCGACTCTGCTGCACTTGGAGCCATTCCAGCAATATATGTTGAGTCCATCAACCAAAATGAAAACATCTCCTTTGTTAAGCGACTTGGCATGCAACTCAACCTACAATTGATTAGAAATTTATCAGAGGGGTGTCTCATAAAGACAAGAATATTTGCACAAAATTGAAAAAAAAAAAAAACGTTACCAGGTTGTGAACAGTAGATGTACACTAGATGTTTCAGAGAGTGTATTTTAAATGGTTTATTTATTAGATCATTAATTATTATGCTAATTATTATCAATTAATCAGTMATAAGCCATAAGTAACATGATTTTCAGTGCGGCTGGTAATCTTACCTGTGACACCCTGACATTCCTCTTCCCTTTGATATGAAATAACCTCTTTTCGTAAACTCCACGTTCAACTTTCCTGAATCCAGATTCCACWCCACCTTCCAGATACCTTTAGTCAAACCACCAAAGATCTCATTAATTAATACAACTTCGAAATTTGCAGCTTTTTCTAAATCAGTTGTCGGAGAGAATGGCGAAACTTACACAGCTCACAAAGCCATGTGCGTATACTCSTAATATTGGCTACGTTTACGCTACGTTTTAGTGACGTTTACGTATTGCACTTTGTCAGCAATGAAGAAATAGCAATATAAAAACGCAACAAATTAAAACGTTTTTACTACTTTGTAATTAAACCTTGAAAAAAAAGAAAAAAATCCAAATGCAACAGTCTCTTACCGTATGCCATCTTTGAAATGCGCAAGAAATTTTCTTGACTCGTGATCTTGCACCTGTAGGAACCGCGCTAGATTAATGATCCCTTCAAAATAGCGATCTAACCTCTATTGCTCCACTCGATAAGAGTTAGAAATAAAAGATGAATTCAAGTATTGCTTGTGGTGCGTGCAGCAACGGGAAAAATAAATTAGCAAAGATGTGCACAACAAACGGTCTATTTAAAGGGGAATTTTTTAACCAGCATTCGATCATTGCGGACATTATTCAGATCCTTCAAATATCCATTCGAAATCAATGAAACTTTTTTCATCCGTCAGTTTTAAGATCGAATATAATTAAATCTTACAATTTCTCCATTAATTGAGCGTAAAGGAATAAAAGATTAAGTTTTTGCTTATATTACGATTGGTATTTTTCTATTTTGAAAAAAAAAGGCAGCGAAATTACCTCTCGATATTGTACGGGTGCTCCTCCAAGGCTGTCATCAAGTTCCACCGTTTTGTACGCGCAAACTCCTGCTTCGTCCTTTAGCAAAACATACAGCGATTTTGGTATAAAATRTAGTTTAAGGAAGTCACAGAATAAGACCGATAATTTTCAAGTCTTGATTGTCATCAAAAAAGGTTTTAACTTACTTGAGAAGTTTCTTTTCCAAGCCAGAAGTGGATATCCCATTCCAAATGTGTGTCAACCTTCTTTGTCTGACAATCAGTATAACATATGCATAAGTATAACGTTAATTTATTATAAAAAAATAAAAAAAAGAAACAGGCTTTTTACACTTACTGACAAACAGATATAAGAGTCACCAGAGTAAAATGTCCCATACGTTTTTGGATCTTGAAAGACTACTTTGAGTTTCTATAACGAAAATTTGCTAAATTAATATCTTTTATCAGTGCAAACGCTTGTACATAATAGCGTACTAAAGAAAGTTTCGCGCCAGCGTAAATAATTTATAAGCTCTGAGACAAAACAAAACTCAATCATGAGTCCATTGCACCCCAGGCTAGCGCTGATCGAAGGTAGAGAAACAAAATTCGGACGATATAAATGGACTTTTATGGTATAATATTCAAATTGGATCACACCAGCTGTATAACATCATTATATACTGTCACCAAGCTGAATCCACTCGTTTTATCTAGAAAACAGAGTATGTTATTAGCCCTGTTTGGATAATCGATAATTTTCAGCCAACGATATCAATTTCTATTTGTTTTTTATTGGAAATARAATACTTGTAAATTTAGAGCTATATAAACACGTCTATCTTATCTGCCTYATTCTTGAACAGCTCGAACAGCTGAAACACTAAGGGAAAACTTATATATTCTTGAACGGATTCACAATATTAAAATCATTTGCTTCCTTAATTTTCCCTGATAAACCATTGTGTTCAAACGAGCAAGTCGTTTAATATTTGATTGATAAATATTTCTTCAATCAACATATATTTTTTAGCTGAAGAAAACATTTTGGCGCGCTTTTTCATCTACAAAATGCATATATGCGCGCGCGTCCACCCTTAGTAAAAAAAAGGCGGGAAATTTGTATGTAAAACCAGTTGGTATGAGTGTCAGTTGGTATATATCATTGAAAAGACAAATCTTGACAAGTGGCTTGTCTAGTATTTTCTCATAGTTAATTATTAATGTTGTGCATGTCTAATATACAATTTGTGTTAATTCTCATAAACGATTCTGACTTAACTGAAAATAAACTATAGAATACTAATTCGCYCGAAAACCGAGAGCCTTTTTCTATAGCCCAGAACAAAAACATCTTTACCATCAGGAAATTCCTGTTATGATATACACCGAAAACAAATGCTCGTTTTACGGCGATTTCTGGCTTAATTCCAGACATTTAACTCTTGAGAATCTTCTATTGGCTTTACTTCTCGTACTTGTAGTGTTGACTCACAGGTGAAAGGATTGTGCATTTATCAAATAGGTGCTGCAAGCGCCTATGGCGTTGTCTTTCAAACAAACATCTTTTTCAATAGTCTAAAAGCTTGACTGAATTTTAAGTTAACAATTTTACTCTTCATCAAAATATAGGAACACTAGTGTGTCTTACAAGAGTTGTTCATTAATTTATGAACATTTATTGACTTATTAGCTTCTTTTCGCGTTAAATTTGAATCCTGTCCGACTTCGGTGCGCGTGCATAATACAAGCTCGCCTTTCAATTTTCGCGATGTTTACTCAATAATTCTTGCCAATATAAGTGTCATTTTGCTATTTCTTTTTAATAAGCGTTTCTATTTCTCCTGTCACTGCATATTAAACTCCTATAAACAGATAAAGTAAGAAATGATAAGATTTTCGGTAAAATGAAAACACAGCGGAAATATAAAGACTAGGAAAATATTTTGGTCATTTTTTGAATAAAAGTAAAGTGATGTTGATTGGCGTCAAAAACAATGTTTTTTTAATAAAACGCTTAGAACACTTGGCATCTTTCTTTAAACAGGATCTTTTGAATTTTTCTCATGTTTCTGTCAGGTTTTTATTTTTTAATTTTTTTCGGCTGTACTAAAAATGAAATGTATATACTGAACGATCATTTTATATATAAACAAAATGAGAATAAATAAACGGAAAATATTCCATATGAGCAAGAACTTAAACCAATTTTAGGGACCTAATGCAAGTAAGCATCTAATATGAGCTTTTAGCCTAATTTGAATTTTTCTTAGCGCAGTAGTTTCCTAGGAGACTGCTTGAACAAATTACAAAACTGATGTTTACAAGAGCTTTCACTTCATATATTATTCGTCTTATTTTGCAAATTTCAATTAACGATGTTATGTCCCATCAAATACTTACAGTTTAACGTTGCGACCTTAGAAATACGGAAGGTAGAGGCTTTGTTATTGTTCTCGTAAAGTAGGAGACGTGTGGCTTAACTGAATTTAAATCATATAGCAGAATTTTCCTTTAAAMTTAAGCAACGGAGTCAGCAGGAGCAGCGCGCTGCTCACACTTCAAAAAATCATTTTGATAATGAGCAGGCTTTACATACTATCTGTTAGTAAAGTGGAAGCAATCTCATTCAGACCTACAAGCGTCAGGCAAACACATAGACCGAAACTGGAAATGAGATTGTACATAAGATATTTGGTATAGCTACCTCACATTTCCTTTCAAAAACAAAKCATGAAAATCCCACCTCAATTCTCCAAATTTCCATGCCAGGAACTTTTCCTGCTTCCACGAAGGCTTCGTCAACAGGCATAACTTGTAATTGTTGAGAGGGTTATTATAATTCAAGTYGGGGAGTTCCTCTTTATCCAATGTAAAGCACACTACCTTGTGCAGATCAGTACAAGCCAGCAAATCGCRGTTTGCCAAATTAGCAAGAAAGCAACGAGCATCGACAGATTATCACCATTTTAAATGAAWGTAGCCATTCAGACTGGRCAATATAAAATGCTCAGCGGACTCRCGATGACGTCAACTTTGCATATTCAAATCTACGCTTGTTGCACYTAACTGAAAACAACTTGTTGCTAAGCTCTACGATTCTCAAATATTTACTTGAATATAATATAATTTCACCAAAAGGAAATCTTTTTAAAGCGCAAAACAAATGTTGAAAAAGTGGATAAAACAATCGCGTCTTTTTATTCTCGAAGTTTCAATTATTTTAATGTTGTCACTATTTTAGCATAATGGGAGTGAAAATTGATACTTTGGCAGACAACCAAGCAAGCAAAATGAGTAGCTGTCAGGTTGTCGCAGCTTTATTGGCAATTTTTCTATTGATTATACTATTGTGACTGAGGTGACTCTWAAGRTATCAAGAKCTCTAATAGGAAAAAAAACAATTTCACTWATGACACGCGATGCCCAGCTAGAAAGCTCCAAATGTTGCTGGTTTTTGCCGATTCTAGAGACCRGTTAATCCTTGTGACGGGTCAGTTACGGTTGTGCGTGGCTACGGGAAATCCATCTCGATTTGGCTGCGYGATTTACGGTATAATTTTTTAATTATATTGGGGCCCATATGGTATGCGGCAACAGCCATGGGAGGAAGATAACGACGATGTAATTAGAATGTCCAACACACATAATACTACTACTAATTGAATATAAGATATTATTGGGAAGCATCAGAGCATTTATGGTCAACGACATCGAAACGCTATACTTGAAAATGCTTGATAGAATTGAATCTGACTGCGTATATTCAGCTATATAAATGACAAGACTTGMTTGCTATGCTCTACAGGTACAAAACATCGGACATTTGATAATTCCACCGCACAAGAAGCACTAGATATCGTTCCTTGCTTCACTACCACTTCCGTTCGCGTCTTGCAGCCAATCGTCTTTAGACAACCTGTATATTGATGCGTTGTTGTCAGGCTGGAAGAAATACTCTATTGACTTGGGGGGCACAACCATAGACTTAAAGTGAAGTGATGACGTCACATCAACYTTTGCGAATGCATTTAACTATGACAAAAAAACAAATTTTTGGATTGTTTCGATGTTTCGAGCCGTTATGGGGGCGGCAGCCCCCCCCAAAATATTTTGTGTAGGGGTGCCCCCCGTCTCCGCCACCCCTGGCTGATATAACTAGATGAAACCCGCAACCGCGCATTCCAGAATAACAACGAATGATAAATAAACATTTTTATAAGTGCACAACCGGTCTCTCGACTCGTTCATGAAACATTAAAGTCACACTGGCCGCGAGTTGGATCATGGGACATAAAGGAGGGAAATGAGCAACTGAACACTAGGGCACGAACAAAAACAACAACAGCAACAAAAATAACAATAACAACACTACTAACAACAATAGTTTAACAAACACAAACAAGAAAAACAAAAGGGAAAGAATGAAATGCGATTCATTCCCTGTATCTTGCAACTGTACTGAAGTTTGCTTGATATTTATTGTCCGATAAGATGGGATCCTCTTGAAAATATCGAAGGGAATTCCGGTTAAAAATACGGCTATAAGATGTCCTATGTTAATACCACACGATAACCTTGTTGGCTTTTTCTTGCTAGACCTTGCTAAAGAGTTGCCATCAATGATGCGTACAGCATTTGTTACTCTTTATTTTGCACGTTTTGTTCTTTGTCTTTTCGCTGAATCGATCACATGTTATTGTACTTTAACTATTGCACTTTGTTTCATGAAAAAATCTATTGCGAAATGAGAAGTGATAAGGCTAATCGATTCTTTGAAATTTTCTAGTGTTTCTATGGTAACACGCACCTGTCGACATTCATTTGAATAAATCTAAGGTCTTTGTAATCGCTGCCTTAATCTTTCAAGAAATATCACTCTGTAAGCAAGTACTCTTGTRCTAATATACTTGTGTTAATAAGTGTTAATATTGTTTAGCATTCTTTTTARATATTATTTTCGGTCCAGAAAAGTTTTATAATACCCATGGCGCATCACGAGATGAGATGCACGCTTCCTTGGACTACGTGGCGTTCGTTACCAGTCCTTCGCGGAATCAAGCGGCTGCGAAGTGTCCGCCATCTTAGAATTCTTGARTTCATCTCAAAATCCGTGAAAATCACGGACAATTTTTAGCCATCACGGACTTTTTACACCATTTATGATGAATAGAAGATACCTGGCGTCTTTCTTGCTTATTAYTCTAGCAAGTAACAGCATAAAAGCGGACGAACACAATCATATTGTAAGTACGATATTTAGTTGTGTCTGTGGGGAGAGGATTGAAAATGGCGGTTTCAGAGACCTGTTTGTATTGTATTTTTATATTCTTTAACAGAGATCGCAATAATAAATCATCCCATCATCATAGCTTGTTTTGTAGTTAAGTGAATTTTACCTAAAATATATTTTATGCTTTAAGAACGTCTTTTTCATGCCAATAAATAAGCCTTCATAATATTTTCCTTGCAAGTTGGTGAATTTGACTCGGTACACGTCGACAGACGTTTGAATTGTCGATTTCAATACAGCGATTGCTTGCCAACGTAAAAACTACTTTGCAAAAATATATTTTTAAGTCTTTTAAAGCCGTACATGATATTTTTATCGTATGTGCTAATTTTGTGCCGAGGTGTTTAGTGTTTTGAAGCTTTATAGAATTCATTTTATTTGTGGCCGGGTCCACCCAGTAACATTTCTACGTTTTCTTGAATTCTAACTAGTGACAGAGATTCTGGATTCGTGCATGTATGCATACAAATTACCCAATTTAGCAACTATAATACAGAAATTTATATGTAAGCAAAAATTGTTGAGCTTAATTTGTCGAAATTTATGCAGTTTTCTATGATTTGAAATTATATTATTCATAATTCATAATCGATCAGGAAAAGTTATGTCAAACAAGTTGTTTGTARGCTATTTTCCAAACTTTCATGTTTTTATGGGTTATTAAGCTTACGTGTTACAAAGCTGACACATCTTACTGGCTTTACATATTTTTGAGTATCTAAACAGTAAACTTGATTGTTTTTTTTTACACAAGATGAAAAGATTATACTAAATTATAATTTTTGTTATTTCAGTTAAATATGATGATGATAAATATTGATGATTTTGATACATTTAGAGTGACAGCACAAAAGTGTGAGACAATTTGTAACAATTTAGCGCCTGAAAATACTCAAGTTTCGAATTCTCTTTTGTGCAAGTTAAGCTTCATTCATGCATATATTCTTATAGTTTGCTTTGCAGTAGAGTGCCTGCATTATAATAGGGTATCTGCCAWATAAWAGAATGTATTACATGCTTTCGAGGTTAAGGCTGCACAAATAATATSTCGAAACTGGAGTATYRTCARCTTTGTTATGTGTTGACTAAGAATTCCTTGAGAAATAGACTAATCAAGATGACCAATGACCAAAAGAAGTGAAAATAAAAAGCATCTGAATGAAAATTCCTTTGTTATTGTGTTTATACTTTGGTGAATTCTTACATATTGTAGATAATGAATGAATTCAATCCTAAGTAGTTACTGTTAGAGCTAAATAGTTTGGAATTGTTTCACACTTTTGTGGGGAGTACTATGATATGAATAATAACTGTTGAAGCCTTAAAGACATAGTGTTTATATTATATCTTCACAAATGTGTTTTGGCATTGTTCTAGTTCTAGGTCCAAATGCCTTACAACCGTAATTTGGCAAAAGTACATTTTAATTTTAGCCAGCCCAAAGTGCCAAATAGAAGCAGAATTTCGCCAGTTGCAGGCTTCTAGTAGCAAAAAGCCATATAAGGGCATTGCATTATGCATGACAAAAACATTCAAAAAATTGCCAACTCCAATAGATAGCTTGTTTTGGGAAGTTGGAAATGTGAACTGTGTAAGAGATACACTTTGAAAAGAAGTGTAATTGTTTTAGTTGCTTTGAGATTCAGCTAATAAAACGTTTCAAGGAAGTTGTAACACTCCATCAGTCTTGTCTGTATCATAAAGTTATACATCACATAACCTTTTTTCAAACATGTGCAAATCACCGG